CCCCCATTCGCCTCCTGGCTTGGCAATTGGTGCCTCCTGGATCTGGGGGGCACCCAGGGTCCCCCCCCACAGCCAATCGATAAGCTGGGGAGGTGGGAGGGGTCCACTGCCGAGCACGCAGAGGACCCCCTTGCTCCCATTGGACGCTCCATCCGTCCCACCATCTGTGTTCAGGAGCCATGCCTGATACCTTGAGGTATGTAGAAAAAACATATAAAGCTGTGTCTATGGCCAAATCGCTGATTCTCCAAACCAGAATCAAATCTTCAGATTCAGATTTAACTGAATCGAATTGGGACAATGATCTGAATCAGCAAATTGAATCACTGTCCCCCAATTCGGGTCAAATCCGAATCAAATACGGCCTGCTTCACACACCCCTAATGCAAATCTCAGTTGTTACTTACTGTTGGAGGAAATAAGTCTGCATGTGAAACAAAAGAAAATGTCCTGTGTTCAAATCTGTGGAATATTTATTTAATCTGTGTGTATATTATAGGAGCTATACTGCTAAGTATTCCAACCATATCCACTACACTCATTTACAGCTACTTTCTTGGCTCTAGCAGAATACCAGAGAATAGACAAAGCTACAGAAGTGTTAAAAACTGGAAATATACAGGGACAATACAAGTTTTCCACCCCCAAAACCATGGAAGATTCTGATCCAGTTTCAACCTTAACTAATAATGGCCAACCTTTTGGCCTGCATGATGTGAAATACCAAAAAGTACTGTAAACAAAGGGAACTTCTTGGAAAAGCCTTCCTCAACTTTTCAAAATATACACAACACAGAAATTTTCAGGATTCTCCTAAACATGGGTGCATTCTATTCAGTACACCTTTGCACAGCCAAGTGGAACTTATACCCTACCTGCTATCTATTGGCATTTGAAATATATGTTTTCTGATGTTCAGGACACAGCAACATGTAAATCTCTTCATAAACAATAGTTTAAATCTCTTTGATCCACAGTGGGGCCTCAAAAGAAATAGAGAGAGTATTATGTCAGTGTGAACTGCTGTAACTGTTGTATCCTTTTCAAGATAAATAATCTTTTTTTAAAATAAACTTTTATAAGTATGGAGAATAACTGAACCACTCAAACATCATGGGGCGATGTAGTAGTTATCAAAGGAACGTTTTAGCACCTGCCTGAGAATTTACAATTGTACTGTTGTCTTCTACATAGCTGAGAATGCACTAATATAAAAATGAAATCATTGCTGACACTAATTGATACCTTTAGTCACATATTGTAACAGGACTAGATGTTTATAAACCAAGCAACTTTTATCCCAAGAGCTGGGCTCTCCATAGCACATGAAAGAATATGGATAAACCAATGTACTGTTACTACTACTTCTACTATTACTGTTACTACTAATACTACTTGTATTGCTGCCATAGCTGAGAAATTCAGTCACGGCCTCCTATTATGTTATGCACTACACAAACTAGGAACAAAACATGTGGATAGTCTTCCGATACCATAACTCTTTAAAGAACTACTGCTCCCAAATCAATCAATAAAACCTCTTTCACAAACATGAAGCTAACTACCTGCAAAGAAATTAGGCAATATTTTGCAAATTAACTCCCTTCCCCCAACTGGGTCATTGCAGTGCCAGAAGCTGTCACATGCTAGCTATATAAGGACTGTGTAAATGGCAATGGTTGTCTGTTCAGCACAGAGTCTACCCAAACTGCAACCCATCTTCCAGCCTGTTTTGTGGTATGCCCCTTGATAATACTCCTGTTTCTGATGCTACCATTTACAAGACAAATCCCTATATCACCATTATGTTAGCAAGATCTATGGTTAACTGCAATTACATTTCTGACAACATTTATCTTCAGGTCACTTGCTGTAGAAGTTTGCTAGGCTGGTAGTGGACTAACTACTTATTAACAACTCTCTCTCTGGTACATATAAAGGCACGTCTATATGTGTCACTATGCTGACATTGTTACTGTGCTATAATTTAGTACTTCCTTTTTGAAGTACTAAATCACAGCACAGCAACAGCCCGTAGGGTGCCATATGTGTGGTGCATGGTTACTTTTAGCAGCTACTTCGCCGTAGCAGTGCACTGTACTGGGGGAGTGTGTCACTACAGCAAAGTAGCTGCTGTGTAGACGCCCACGGATGCCACACTGCTGTAGAGTGTTACTATAGTGATGTAGCGTCATATGTAGACATACCCATAAGCAATCAGTTCAATCTGATTTCACAAAACTAAATTAAATGTAAAGAACACATAACTGAATTATAATAAAATGGGTTGTTCTAATCTAAACTTTCTACCAGCCATGATAAAATAACTAAACTTCCTGGTATTTTTTTGTAACAAATGAATTCCTAAATTTGTTAGTTGTCTGATAAATCCTGAAACCATGCAAGGTTTTATCCACTGAAATTTTAACTAGGCAAACATCTTCCTCAGCAGGACTAGAACACATGCAGATGCCAAGGGGGGAAAGTTATGCAACTTCAGTTTCATTTGGCCAGAGAAAATAGATAACAGTTTGATTTTTTTAAGGTTTTTTGGCTAGTAAATTGTTGGTATTATCACTAGCTTGTTCACACAATAACAACAAAGGAAAAGAACCCCCTGATAAATAACAAAAGGTTACTGTCACTATGTATTCTAAACAGAGGTTTTAACCTCACTGAAAATGTGGAAAGCACCTCAGAACTGTTTATCTGAATTCACAAAGCAAGTGCAGGTTTATGCCCAGAAGAATATGCCCAATTAGAGCTTTTCTTTAAAAAAAATTTTAGTTGTGCTCTCATCTGTTTTGAATGCTTTTTACAACTTTTGAACACACATTTTAAAATAGTATGTTACATGCTAGTTAGAAATAGAAGACTGAATCTGACCACCCCTTTTAAAATTAAAATAGGCCTCTAACACACAGTTGGCTTGTTCATTGTTTGGTATATTCAAGATCCACTGTGACCAGGGTTTGTTTAACTGCAGTAGCTTGTTTCTCTTTATGTTTAGTGGGTTTTGAGTAGAAAACAAAATAACAGTGTATCTGTATTTCCATCATTAGCAAAGTTGCATTTTAGGAAGTTGAAAAACAGGTACTTGCTGACAAATAGATTCATAGGATATCAGCCACAAATCTGGTTTAAGGTTTTGCGTATTGATTCAAAAGAACTTCATCATTTTGCTTTGATAATTCAGTGAGCTACTGTATGTTGCTGAATTTTCCAAATTAATGAGTTACAAGTAAACACAATGGAAAAGCAAGGCTAATGCATCACAAAACATACGTTCTTCATTAACTATTATAATAGTTTAATTGTAATTATCAGTATCAGAAAATGTACAGCAATATACATTGTGTAAAAATAATGAAGCTATAGCAATAAGAGATCTTATCATAGTTACAAAATCTGATGTACAATCTTTGTTAAGAAGTAGGAAGGTAGCTGGATTTCAGTGCAAGTTAAAAGGGGGGGGGGATGAGGTGATTTTAGCAAAACAAAAGTTCACAAAAATTATTCAGCTGCTATTTGTAATACACATGATGAAATCTGATACCTTTGTCCAGAGGTATAACTAGGAAGTGTTGTGTCCTCAGTCATGGTTGTGAACAAAGCAGTGGCCTGGCAGCAGCTACCATTCCTGCACCCCTTCAAGTCAGGGTGGTGTCCCATGCACCCACCCATAGTTACACTATTGCCTTTGTCTAAAAAAGGCCAAACCAATAGGAGAAATGTTAGCTTGTTGACACAGCCACTAATCAGGGGAATCTATCAGGAGAACCCTCCTTCCACCTACTGGGTGGTATGGCTTTTCCTAACCATTCACAACCTAGGCTCTTCCCTCAGCCTCTCTGCCCCACTCCATATCGTAACTTTCTTTCCCAGCCAACAACATTCTCAGTTTCATATTCTACCTACCTTAAAAAGTGAAGAGCCCCAGATGCACCTATACTAAGGTCATGGTAGTACCTTCAGTGAAGTAGGGACACAGTAATTGAAATTAATCTGTCTAGAAAAACACTATATATTTATGTAATAACCCATGCAACTGAAAGGTAAGACAAATTGACCATGATGCAAGTGGCACATCTATGTTATATCAATGTAGACCACTCACTTAAGACACAGTTCAAAATATATACCATGATAACCTCTCTCCATGTCTCACTACTATGATTAAGATCCCACAGCTTCAGAATAAGACTCTATCTGTAGATTAGTATGAATAGAACATGCCATCAAAAGATTTAATTGTAGTGACATATTTTTATAAATTGAGGTCACTTTAAAACCAACACATTTTTGAGCATCTTACTGTTTTTGTACAGAGCAAAGACAGTTACATTTACACCCAATTAAATAAAGCATTAATGAAGAATAATCAATTTAATCACAATTCAAAGTAAAGAATCAAAAGACAAGGCCCTCAATTAGTCAACAGATACTCTTTATTACCAAGTTTACTAGTAATCTGAATCAAGGAAATACAAGATACTTAATTTTCCTCCTTTTACTATAACCATTCATATTGAGACTCTCCATTTTAAAATAATGGAATACAATCCATAGACTATCAGCTTTGTCAAAAAATGTAAAAGGTACGGATTTTAAGAAAAATACCAGTTAACAAATATTTAAAACTACCTTCAGTTCCTTCCCTCTTGTTCCCTAATACTATGTTTTTTACATTTATTCCTCTAAAGTCACTAGCAAAATTATTATGCAATTGAACACAGAATTGAGCCCTATGCCCAAAATACCCCCTCTCCACAACTCTATGGGAAACAGAAAAAGCTACTTACGGAATAGTCTCTTTTCCAGAATGCTCTACCAAGTTAAATTCTCTCTCTGATCTTTTTGGATTATACAAGAAAACAGTTTCCAACTGAACATCTCACTTCACCAAGGGCTACAGGGCACAAACTCTAAATAACTGTTCATGATCAAGAATATTCAAAGATAATCAATTTTAGTTAAAAGAAAAGTTTATATACACTTACTCCCAGAATTCCATGACTGGAGAAGTGGCATTTTGTAATGAGATTTGACTGCAGTTGCTCATATTAAGCTTCTGAAATTCCACACAGTTTTCTATTAAAAAAAAACAGAAAAAAAAGATTGCTATCACATATGCTTACATGCATATGTGCCTCTCCATGTCTTTACAGGATGAGAATACTCTGATGACATCACTGTAATTAACTATCCTTGAGCAAAACAGAAGGGTTTCCATGTATTTTTAAATACTTTACTTGGAAAAAAAATGCATTTTGGTCATTGATTCACACAAATCCATCCCAGGAAGATATGCGCACACAGTATGCTATGTTCATTTACAGTACTTTTGAATGCAAAGATACAACTTCAAGGGTCAGTGACATGCCTGAGGCAGAAAAAAGCACCTTTGAGTTGGGGTGAATAGTAGGGAATTAAAAGATACGGCTTGGTCCAGATGGCTCACTGAAGTTCAATTCCCAATGGCAACAGTTGGCTCAGAAGCCATTTTCTGCCAGCAAAAATCTTCCACTGGCCTGAGAGTGAGAAACTTACTTTTTGGTGCACTGTTATCTCTGGTGTATGGAAAAACTGTGAAGTAGAGGTGCACTGATATATCAGTCCATATTGTATTGGCACCAATGAAAGAAAAAATGATTATCGGCAATCAGCTTTTCTTGGCTGATATGACTGATGTTGCCAATAAATGCTGCATGCATATGTGCAGCCACAGCATGCATGCAGCCAGGAGTACAGCCCAGCAGCATGGAGAGCAGAATCCATCAGGTAAGTCTGTGGGGAGTAGGGGCATGGGGGAAGGAAGGGGCATCACAGGTGCACTTCAAGGTCCCCACGGTGAGGGAGGGAGTGGGGCAGGGAAAGGGGCAGATGCTGCCTAGCTGCGGCAGGGCAGGACATGGCATAGAGCTGCAGACAGCTCATCTGGGGGCGCAGGAGAGGCATGTGGGGCATATGCCCCCTGGATTTGTGAGCAGGACAAGGGTGGGCTGCCCACTCTGGGCCAGGGGCTGTGTTGGCCTCTTCCCGGTGGTGAGGCTGGGCTGGGGCTGCATGCAGGGTGGATGGGGACAGGGTGGGCAGTGCAGCACTGGGAGGGCATCCTACGGAGGGGACCATGGTGATTTTGGCCTGTAGCCCACCTCTCCCAGCGCCACTGCTGCCTGCCCTGTCCCCACCCACCCCCGCTCCCAGTCACAGCCCAAACCCCTTCCTGGGAAGAATCCAGTGCAACCCCTGGCCCTGAGCAGGCAGCCTGCCCTTGCCCTGTGCACAAATCTGAGGGACACATACCCATGCCCCCTCCCTAGACAAGCCACCCATGGCTCCATCCTGAGCCTGCCTTGCCCTGGCTAGGCAACGCCTGCCCCTGTTCCAGCCCTCCTCCCTCCCTCACCATGGGCGGGCCTCAATCTGCCTCCCCACACCCCTTCCCTCACACAGACTTATTGGCTGGATGCTGCTCTGCAAGCTGCCGGGCTGCACATTGGCAGTCAGATCAGTATGGGCCAATATGGTTGGTCAGCCATCGGTATCAGCCAAAAATTCTTTATCGGTGCACTACTACTTTGAAGATATCAAACCAGCTCAGCATTGTTGAAATGACATATGCTATTCAAATAATGATCACTACTGGCAAGGTTTCACTTAAGAGATGAGCAGACCACATCCTGGATTGTTAATACACCCTAACTATCACTGAGTTGGAAGTATGCTTGGAGTACAGGACTGGGCCCACTAAGCATTAGTCAAAGCCGTAACCTGAAATAAGTGGGGTGATGGGATACAAGGAAGGGGGTCAAGATTCATGAAAAATAAAAGCAATTTATTATTTCAAAAGTAGTATTAGGATACAATTTTCCATGTATCACTATCATCTTTTAAAAAGTGAATGCAATATTGAAGAATTATAAAATGACAAGAATTTCCATGTGAAGAGAAATAAAGGATCCTCTTCTGCAAAACCCAGTTCACAAAAGAAGTCATTATTCAGGCCAGTAGACTATCCAAAGGAACCAGGCTTTGTTTTGTGAAAAGGGTATGCAAGACTAAACCATGCATATAAAAGTTTTGATCACTGAATATATTGATATACTGATCTGAATATACAGATATATTTATCACTGGATACTTAACAGTATAGAAAGATCAAATTCAAAGGTCCTCACTTAATATTTACCCCAATATTTATGAAAACAAAACTCCCACTGGTTTTACTAGGAGCTCAGTAAGAACTGATGAGAAACTGAGAGCCATGTCACCACCACCACCAGTTTTTATTTGAATTCCCTGAATGTTAACAAAGATAAGATAGAGTCTTGAGCCAGGATCCCAGTTTTTGGCCAAAATATCTGTCAGAATTATGAAAAGATTAGATTTTCTGACCATTTTCAAATGAATATATTTGAGAAGAGAAAATATCTATAAAAGACAAATACACCAATAAAATTCTGCCCCAGTAATTTACAAACCAAGGTAAATACTGTACACCAAATTCTCTGCTGATCTACTGACACATATCTACTGGTTTCAATGGAGCTAAGTCAGTTCCTATCCGGCGAGTATTTAGCCCCTACAATTTGACATAGTAACTATTTAAAGTGTTTCTACAGCTATTAGTTTTACTGAGGCCATACCTGTATTCCATTCATGCCCACAAGTGGCCCATGGGAGCTCTGTGGTAAAGCAGTTAAATAGATAGAAGATAGCCCATGCTAAAATGATGATGTAATAAACATTTAAATGTGCTTCAATAACTTGGGTAGCATATCCAATGCCTAGAGAAAGAAAAAAAAAAAAATACAGAAATCTTTTGTACTTCAGACCTTTACAATTAAGACCATGCTGTTTTCTGTACATCTTAATATTAATTGGTTCAAACATTAGGGAACTTTTGGAGGGGCTGGACATGTTTAAATCAGTAGGTCCAGATGCTCTTCACCCGAGGGTGCTGAGGGAATTGGCAGAGGTCATAGTGGGCCCCGGCATGGCTGTATGAGCGCTCGTAGGGCTCTGGCCAGGTACCAGAGGATTGGGAAAGGGCCAATGTGGTCCCCATTTACAAGAAGGGGAGAAAGGAGAACCCCTGGCAATTATAAGCCAGTCAGCCTTACCTCAGTCCTTGGGAAGACCTTTGAAAAAATTATCAAGGAGAACATCTGCAAGGGCCCAGCAGGGGAGATAATGCTCAGGGGCAACCAACATGGGTTCACGGAGGGCAGATCCTGCCTGACTAACTCGGTTTCCTTTTATGATCAGGTCACAAAGTCTCTGGATGAGGGTGTTGAGGTGGATGTCGTCTTCCTGGACTTTAAGAAGGCCTTTGACACTGTTTCCTACCACATTCTCTTAAAAAAATTAGGTGACTGCGGCATTGATTCCTACACGGTCAGATGGGTGGCAAATTGGCTAGATGGTCACACCCAGAGAGTGGTGGTGGACGGGTCGCTTTCGACCTGGAGGAATGTGGGCAGTGGAGTGCCCCAGGGCTTGGTCCTGGGGCCTGTATTGTTCAACATCTTTACAAGTGATCTGGATGTGGGTGTGGAAAGCATGCTGTCCAAATTCGCTGACGACACCAGGATGTGGGGTGAGGTGGGTACGCTGGAGAGGAGGGACAGAATCCAGCTAGATCTAGACAGGTTACAGAGGTGGGCAGATGACAATAGGATGGAATTCAATGTAGATAAGTACTGGATCTAGGGAGAAAGAAACCAGCAGCACACCTATAGGCTGGGAAACACCCCTCTTGTCAAAATGGTGGCAGAAAGGGATCTTGGAGTCATTGTTGACTCCAGGATGAACATGAGCCGCCAATGTGAGGAAGCAGTCAGGAAGGCTAACCGCACCTTGTCATGCATCTACAGATGCATCACAAGCAGGTCCAGGGAGGTGATCCTTCCCCTCTATGCGACATTGGTCAGACCGCAGTTGGAGTATTGCGTCCAGTTCTGGGCGCCGCACTTCAAGAGGGATGTGGTTAGCATTGAGACAGTCCAGAGGAGGGCCACTCGCATGGTCAATGGGCAGCGGGTCAGGCCCTATGAAGAGAGGCTGAAGGGCCTGAATCTATTCAGCCTCCATAAAAGAAGGCTGAGAGGGGATCTGGTAGCTGTTTACAAACTCCCCAGGGGGAACTAGCAGGAATTGGGTGAGGCTCTGTTCCCCCAGGCACCACCGGGGTTACTAGGAATAACAGCCACAAATTGTTAGAGAGAAGGTTCAGGCAGGACATCAGGAGACATTACTTTACAGTTAGGGCTGCCAGGCTCTGGAATGGACTCCCAAGGGAGGTGGTGCTCTCTCCTACCTTGGGGGCCTTCAAGAGGAGGCTGGACAGATATTTGGCTGGGGTGTTATGACCCCAGCACTTGTTCCTGCCCAGGGCAGGGGGTCACACCTGATGATCTGTTTAGGTCCCTTCCGACTCTAAGCACTATGAAACATATCATACATTTTTTTTAAAAAGAACAAAGTAGTACTTTCTGTTACCTTCAAAGAGAGGGCAAATTTTCCTCCAACATGTAATACCTCCTTCACTAGTAAACTGTCCCAGGGCAGTCTCCAGAAAAAATACTGGTATTCCACAGCAAATAAAGAAAACCACATATGGAATGAGGAAAGCACCTACAAGCAAAACATCGATGGAAAGTTAGTAAGAGCAAATAAAATCCCTTGAAAGAGAAAAGAGAAATCTGATTTCTAAAATAAAGGATAGAATCTACAAATCATTACTTCTCCGTATGGTACCACTGAAGTCTACAAAATGCAACTCACAGAAGAAAGTGTTTAAAGAATCAGACCTTAAATATTAAAAATTATTTACAATAGACCAAGTCCTGTTCAGTTTAATCCCACAAACATGGGAAAGATTGTCTAATGGGCAAGACATTGTGGGGACGTCTGCACATGCACTTTAATGCACAGTAGACTATTATACTGTGCATTAAAACGTCATGTAAAAATCTGTGACATTACACTAATGTGCAGTAAAATAGTCCACTGCACATTAAGTGCCACTAAAAAGCATGCAAATGCACTACTGTGCATTAGCACAGCCTAATGCACATTAATTTAATACCTCATACTGGAGGTACAAAATTTAATGCACATTAGCAAAGGTACATTAATGCATGTGTAGATGTGCCCTATTTATTCAAAATCCAGCTCTGCAACTCTTTTGTCTGATCATGGAGAAGTCACTTAATCTATGTCTCAATTTTTCATTTTCAAATCGGGATTGATACTTCATGGTCACTAGAGGATATTGTGAAAATAAAATCCAGATAGAATTATGTAAGGTATTTGAGAATGATGATGAAGATCGCATAGACAGACAGCTAGAACTAAGCAGCTACTTACAGGAGGACTTATATCAGGAGCAGATAGTAACCAAAAAATGAACACTGTAATTTCACATATTAGGAACGTAACTGAGCATTTTTGTTAGTTTCCCACAGCAAAGATTACAAATTATGCAATATATACACCCCTGTGCCAGAATTTTACAGTATTCAATACTTATATTATGGATTAATGTGCAGTAAATTTTTCACATTACTAATACTAACATCATTTTTAAATTAAAAGGCATTTTTTAATGATTAATCATGATAAATATTGGTCTATAACAGCAAAATGAACAGAAAGACAAATACAGTAATATGTGCATAGGTTACACGCACAAAAAGTGGTAAGGAAAAATAAATGTGTTAGGTCAAATTCTGATCTTAATTGAATCCATTGCTATTTCCATGACCTTCCCTACAAAGCTAACATATGTAATTAAGAACAGGGTACAGTTTTTTTACTACAAGCAATAAGTAAAAAAAAAAAAAAAAAAAGACATAGGAGAAGAGCTCTGTGTTACATTCTGTGTGCACCAAACCCTGCTACTAAATTTAGTGGTGTTCACTAAGGCTAGGGACAGACATTACATGTAAGCCAGTTTAAGTGATCAGAAACTGGTTTAAATCTGTAACAAAACAGAAGTTCAGTGCACATAAACCAGTTTGAAAATGGCCGAAACTGGTTTAAGATAAACCTGGTTGAATGTAGTATCAGACTTAACTGATTTGGGTCAAACTGGTTTATGCAATGTCTGTCCCAGACCCCTTACTAGTTTAAGATAAATCAGACTCCCCCAGCATCCCGGAATTCTCTCTGGGCTGGGCAGGGCTCTCTACTCCACAGCAAGGCTGGCCCCTCCCCTCTGCTCCCTGGCTGCTCAGATACAGTGCAAGGCAAGGGAGGGCTGCTCTAGCACTCCCAGCTTCTAGCCTGACCCACTGCAGGCATGTGCCTGCATTTATGGGATGTCTGTCTGGTTCCAAAACTGATTTAGCTTAGCCAGGATAGATTATCCTGCAAATATTGAATCATTTCAGGCTCAGGATTTTTGAATGTCTGTTCCTAGCTTAAAGATACAGGTTTAAACTTAAACAAGGGAAGATGTAAACAAGCATAAAGGAAACAGCAAACTAAAGACAGCTAGGAAACTCAGTACCACCTTTACTCATATTTCATGAAGTAAAGCAATAAACAACATTTTAATGACATCACTGGGGCTACTTGCACACTAAGGCACTATTCAGCATGAGCTAGAATGGCAGAATCCAAGCCCCTACCTGTTGTTTCTGAATAAAGGCCTATAATTCTTTAATCTGAACTTCTGTTGAGACTTCCCACTGATTTAAATAATTATCCTGGCATTTCAAAAGACCATTTAAATGCACAATAGTTCCCTTTCTCTTTTAGGAATACATATTTTAAAATACTGTCAGCCACAACAAACTACTTGAACACTACACTACACTGATAATTGCACCTCCTTAACAAGGACCCTGAAAATAAAATTTAACTTTAATGAAAAACCATTTGTAATGGTGTCTGCAAGAATATGGGTTTGCTTCCTGAATGTTATCTATGAACCAATCAGGGCTCGTGGACAGAGGTGATATCTTTTATTAGACCAACAAGATTTTTGCAAAAAAAAATTCTTTAATTGTAAGCTTTCAGTCACAGACACCCTTCATTAGGCATCAGAGAAAAGATTGTAAAAGTTCTTCTGGGTAGCCAGCTAAGAACTGCTGCCCAGAGGTGTTTTCCCATCTGCTGACCCCTCTGTGAAATCCTATGAAATATGAACTTTCATTTCTACCCAGGAGAACTTTTACAATCTTTTCTCTGATGCCTAATGAAGGGTGTCTGTGACTGAAAGCTTACAATTAAAGAATTTTTTTTTGCAAAAATCTTGTTGGTCTAATAAAAGATATCACCTCTGTCCTTGAGCCCTGATTGCTTTTTCCTCTAGACCAATATGACTACAACCTGGATACCTGCATCTATGAACCAAGTGTTTCCGAACTTTGTTTTAGGAAATCTATATGGCAGTGTAAATAACCAGGTATTCTGCGTAACAGGGGGAAAAGAGACACAGAGGAAGCTGCAATGATGGTTTATGTTTCAACCACTTTGATCTATAACAGGAGACACAGCTAAGTATACCTGCTTTGAAACAGCTCAGTGGAGTATCACCAGGATCTACAGTTTTATTCTGCAGACCCTCTCTGTCTGGACCACCTCCTCTCCCAGCTTCTTTAAAAGGTAGTATCTCCAAATGTTTCACTGTGCAAACCCCATCCATCAAATCCTCAATGGGCCAGGGTTTGAGAATTGTTGGTTTAAATCAACTCCTACTCAGCCTGCAAGGACACATGCTCATAATGACTTTAGCATGAGTATGTATTCACTCGTTTTACATTAGCATGACTCCACTGATTTCAATAGATTTATATCAGTGTCACAGAGAAGAAAACTGGTGTTTTTACTATCCAGATAAACAGTTCGATCACATAACTGATCAAAATTATAAAAAACTATTTATCTTGCAATAAAATCCACCAGGACCAGTAATCACATTCTCATGCTTATAAACAAATCAAAATCATCAAGAGATGTCACACTGTGGCAGAAGCAGACTAGCCACAGTAGCATGGAACTCCATGTTTACCATGGTGGTAAATTAGCCTGCTTGGAGAAGTATAGATATATACCCTAGAATGCCTTTTCACAACTTTTGGCCTGAACAGTGTATACAGATGCAGAAACTCTCTGTATTAAACGAGCTCAGTTCTGATCCCAGGTTCAACAATGCACCTCAATTTAAGGTAGCTGCAAAGCTAAAATTGGGAACAGAATATGATTTTCCTATTAGTCATCTTATTAGAAATATAAGTAAATGTTGTTATTTAATTATGTTCTTTTTATATCCAAAATTATATTAATTAAAGAACAGTATTACACGTTAATTATCTAAAATATATAGAACACATACAGAGCCACTTATATTTAGCTGAGCGCACATAGGATAACGTATAGGATAGTATGTCTTCATATGTGTTTCATATTGATTTTTCAGATTTTACCTTGCCAAAAAAACACAGGGAAAATTCTAACAAATGAAAAATCTTCTCCATATTTCAAACCCACAGTTATTTTTACATAATAAAAACCCTACTAAAAAGCACAATCTTAAAAACAAGATAGTTCCTTTTATGAGAGTGCAGTAACAGAAGGAAATCCAAGTTACAGAGCACATGTACTTACTGTGCATATTTCTTTAGAAATATGGGAAACAAAATTGGCCAGAATAATCTTTGGCATTACTCAGTTGAGTAACAACACTAAAAAAGGTAGGCCAAATTTATCTCCAAGGAGATCCACTGAAGAATGGGTTTTTATACACCTTTCTATTAAAACAACCGGGTACATTGTTTTCTTTCTAACCTATATGCTCTAATTATTGTTTTAGCTTTTAACTAAAAAACAGTTTGTGTCCAGCCCATCACATATCTAACCTACATTTTTATTCTGAGGATTCATTTTTCCATTGCTAGCTATACCATGATTGAATTCCCTCCACATAACTGGCATGCATCCTATGTACTGGATACTGTCTTAGAGTATGGTGCACTGTTGCATAACTATTAACTTTTTTTTCTTGTTCCACAACTTTGCATATGTAATGACATTTCTAATATTTAATAATGTAGCTAGCAAGCAGTTCAACCAGCAAGCAGTTCAACTTCCTTCCCTATACCATTGTTGGGGGCTGAGAATGAAAAGCCAAAGCAGGTGGAGTTTATTTAAAGAGACTGTCTTTTGTCAGAGAAGAAAACTACTGATGAAGATTTGGTAGAAGAAAAAAAGGCTTTCTAAAGGTTCAGTCTATGATTGCAATGTGTTCCATATACCACTATCAAGACATTCTGGTTTTACTCTGGAGAGTACACAGCTGTTTCATGCTGTCACCTTGTCCCATATTTTGACAGTATGCATATGTTTGTTATTCCATGCAGAAAAAATACAATAGCACACAATCCATTTTAACAGCGTTACAGCCTCTTTTTCATGAGATGTTAGTGCTCAAATGGGACCATTTTCAATTGCACTAGGGCATTTCCACATGATTTCACAAAGGTCTATAAATGCATCCCTGAGTTCATGACAAAATGTAATTTCCCAAATGCATATATTAATTTGTGAAAGATGAAGGAAACTGCACACAGTTTTCCAAAAGCAAAAAGCACTGGTGCACAGCCTCAAAATGTGCAACACCTCCCCAGCAGCACAATCCCCGAAGTCTTCAAAACACCTGTCCTTTATACCCGGTGCAAGAAGTCTCAGGGAAACATTTGTTTTCTGTTTCTTTACCATGTGGTTAGGGTGAGTAGTGAGTCGACATGGGATGCCAGCTTACCTCCTCCATTCTTGTAGCAGAGGTAGGGGAACCTCCACACATTTCCTAACCCGATAATCTCCCCAGCCACAGACAGGACAAATTCAACCTTATTGTTCCAGTGGCCCCTTTCGTGCACCTTTTTATCATTACTGTGGACAAGGTTGGTACTGGAGGCTTCTGGGTCCAAAGCATCTTCTGGCTTGCCGTTAATGATGGGAATGGTCTTTTCAGCTGTCATGACTGGTCGCCTGGGGTGGGGAAGAGAAGAAATCACTTTCCAATTGGAAGACATTCACAAGTCCCACTGCAGGTCGGGCGCTGTTGGCTTCCTGCAAGCTGCAAGGACTTCGGGAAGGAGATAGCACCTTTGCTCCATCAAGCAACTTGCAAAGGGAGAGAAAGGAGGGGCGGTACCAGGGCGTGTGGGGCAGGAGCATGGGCTGGGCCATCTGCAGCAGTGAAGGGGGTGGAAGAGGCGGGGAGCTTTCACAGCCCCGCTCCCCTAGGAAGGACCGGCCCTGCCCGCCTCCCGGCCGGACCCCACTGGGGCTACCCAGCACCCGGAGGCTGCCGCAACGTACGCACGGGCACCAGTGGGTGGCGGGCTGGCCCGTGGCGCCCCCCGCCACCCCCA